AGATGAGGTCTTACAGTGTTGCCCAGGCTGGTCTCAAACTCTTAGGCTCAAGTGATCCTGTCACCTTGACCTCCCAAAGTGCTGGGATTACAGGCATGAACTACCTCGCCTGGCCTGGTCTTCTTTTTTTGAGTAATATTTTAAAGATACAGAAATATTAACCATTTACCATACTTAGAACATCTTACTTACAAAAAAACTAAGCCGGGCACGGTAGCTCATGCCTGTAATCCCAGCACCTTGGGAGGCAGAGGCAGGCAGATCACAAGGTCAAGAGATCAAGATCATCCTGGCCAACATGGTGAAACCCCATCCCTACTAAAAATTTAAAAATTAGCTGGCATAGTGGTGCATGCCTGTAGTCCTAGCTACTCAGGAGGCTGAGGCAGGAGAATCACTTGAGCCCAGGAGGCAGAGGTGTCAGTGAGCCAAGACTGTGCCACTACACTCCAGCCTGGGTGGCAGAGCAAGACTCCACCTAAAAAAAAAAAAAAAAGCAACTTTATTGGCCAGGTGCAGCAGCTCACGCCTGTAATCCCAGCACTTTGGAAAGCTGAGGTGGGCGGATCACAAGGTCAGGAGATTGAGATCATCCTGGCTAACATGGTGAAACCCCGTCTCTCGCAAAAAAAAAAAAAAAAAAAAAAAAAACCTAAATGTTGGCTAGGCATGGTGGCTCACACCTGTAATTCCAGCACTTTGGGAGGCTGAGGTGGGCAGATCACCTGAGGGTTAGGAGTTCGAGACCAGCCTGGCCAACATGGTGAAACCCCCCGTCTGTACTAAAAACACAAAAATTAACTGGGCATAGTGGTAGGTACCTGTAATCCCAGCTACTCAGGAAGCTGAGGCAGAAGAATTTTTTGAACCTGCGAGGCAGAGGTTGCAGTGAGCCAAGATCACACCACTTCATTCCAGCCTGGGTGACAAGAGCAAAACTCTGTCTCAAGAAAAAAAACAAAAAACAAAAAACTACATGTCCTTATTTACTGTAATTTATGTTTGAAAGTAATAAACAGTCAAAAGTAACAGATAACCACTTTGGATGCTCTCAATGCAATGAAAAACAACAATTCTGTGTTCCTCTTCCATTCCCCATATTTCTAGTCTTCTCTCCACCTCAAGATCCCACAAAGGATCTTGAAATACTGGTTAGTATTCTGAAATTCAATTTTCTCTGTTTTCTCTTTGTCACTTACGTTTTACGTTAGTCAATTATTCTAATTGCTCATAGTTATTACATTAATAATCTTCATCCAATTCTTCATAACTCTGTTTTCAAAAGAGCTCTCTAAACACATTAGAAGTTTTTTTTAAGCTACCGTGAAGTTATATGTCAAACTTGAAATCCGCTCTACACATTTTTTCTGTTTACAGATCTATAGAAGTCTTTCTACAGCCAGAAGCGGTGGCTCACGCCTGTAATCCCAGCACTTTGGAAGTCCGAGGTGGGTGGATCACCTGAGGTTGCGAGTTTAGACCAGCCTGGCCAATATGGTGAAACCCCGTCTCTGTTAAAAATACAAGTTAGCCGGGCGTGGTGGCATGTGCCTGTAGTCCCTTGGGAGGCTGAGGCAGGAGAATCACTTGAACCCAGGAGGTGGAGGTTACAGTGAGTGGAGTTGGCGCCACTGTACTCCAACTTGGGCAACAGAGAGAGACTCCGTGTTTAAATAAATAAATAAATAAAATAAAAAGTCTTTCTACTTTAAGGAAGTGAGATAAAGAGGGAAAGAGAACAGGAAATCCTTCAACTCAGCTAATAACTGATCTCTTGGGCAGAACTTCACCTTAAATATCTTAAAGATATCATTCCATCAGCCCCAGATTTTTATTATCTGGTTTACTAAATATATGAAGTCATAATTTGCATATTTGTGCATACTTCTCTCTCCTATAACCTACATCTCCTTAAAATTTTTTAATTTATCATTAAAGTTCAAAATTTAAAAGCTTATGTCTAGATATAATTTAATCAATCTCTGTTAATCTGTAAAGGGTCATAATTGTCTTTCCAGTTTCCAGGCTACAATCTTTTTTGCAATTATGGGACATTTTCTACCACTATGATTAAATACAAACCCTGTGTCACTTCTTTATACATTTTTCTGGTGTAATTATCTCCATCCTCTTTTAAATAAATTGGCAAATTTTTTCTTAAAACAGTCTCATACAGTTAATTCTTCTGTCTTTTGGTTCTTTTTTTTCTTTGAGACGGACGCCCAGGCTGGAGTGCCGTGGCATGATCTCGGCTCACTGCAACCTCCTCCTTCCAGGGTCAAGCTATTCACCTGCCTCAGCCTCTCAAGTAGTTGGAATAACAGGCACACAACACCATGCCTGGCTAATTTTTGTATTTTTAGTACAGATGGGATTTCACCATGCTGGACAGGCTGGTCTCGAACTCCTGACCTCATGATCCACCCACTTTGGCCTCCCAATGCTAGGATTACAGGCGTGAGCCACCACACCCGGCCTGTTTCTTAATTCTTTATTTTTTTATTTTTTTATTTTGAGACAGAGTTTCGCTCTTGTTGCCCAGGCTAGAGTGCAATGGCACAATGTTGCCTCACTGCAACCTCTGCCCTCACCCCCTGCACCCCGCATTCAAGCAATTCTCCTGGCTCAGCCTCCCAAGCAGCTGAGATTACACGTGCCCACCACCATGCCCGGCTAATTTTTTCTATTTTTAGTAGAAATGGGGTTTTACCATGTTGGCCAGGCTGGTCTCAAACTCCAGACCTCCTGGTGATCCACCAGCCTTGGCATCCCAAAGTGCTGGGATTACAGGCGTGAGCCACTGCACCTGGCCTGTTTTTAAATTCTTTAATTTGCCCACAGCATCGTTGTGTACGCCAATGATCCTACTTGCTTTATTCTAATGATGGTCTTACTTGCCCTACATCTAACACCTTGACAACAGTCTTCGTCCCCCCTCAACTTGTTTTTCTGTGGATCTTAGAGCTTTAAGTCTTTTTAGAAGACATTTTGCCTGTTCATTGAATTATCTGATACCTGTCACTTTTTAATTTTAGCTATTGTTGACTATTTTCAAGATTCCTTTAGGTTCTTCTCGTAGGCTGATACTTTTTTCTTTGTTTAAGCTACTTTTTCTTAATGATTTTTTTTTCTTTTTCTTTTTTTTTTTTTTTGAGACAGTCTCACTTGGTCATCCAGGCTGGAGTATAGTGGCACAATCTCAGCTCACTGCAACCTCCAACTCCCGGGTTCAAGCAATTCTCCTGTCTCAGCCTCCTGAGTAGCTGGGACTACAGGTACAGGTCACCATGCCTGGCTAATTTTTGTACTTTTAGTAGAAAAGGGGTTTCACCGGCTGGGCATGATGGCTCACACCTGTAATCTAGGCAATTTGGGAGGTCGAGGCAGGTGGATCACCTGAGGTCAGGAGTTCAAGACCAGCCTGGCCAACATGGTGAAACCCTGTCTTTAAAAAAAAAAAAGAAAAAAGAAAAGGGTTTACCATATTGGCCAGGCTGGTCTCGAACTTCTGACCTCATGATCCAACCACCTCGTCCTCCCAAAGTGCTGGGATTACAGGCATGAGCCACCACACCCAATTTTTTCTTGTTTCATATTACTTTACAGATATTTCAATAGGTTTATTCAAACAGAGAAGGTATGTCTATTGCTTCATCATCTTTTCAGCTGGTGCCCATACCAGAGATTTTAAGTTTGTTTTTTCAGGCCATTTATAGTAAACCATCACTCAATATAAATTAAAATTCATCATCTGATGGTAGGTATAATGAAGCTCTCAATTTGGCAATAAAATTTTTTTTTTTTTTTTTTGAGATGGAGTTTCGTTTTTGTTGCCCAGGTTGGCGTGCGGTGGCGCAATCTCGGCTCACCTCGACCTCCGCCTCCCCAGTTCAAGCGATTCTCCTGCCTCAGCCTTCCAAGTAGCTGGGATTACAGGCATGTGCCACCATGCCTGGCTAATTTTGTATTTACAGTAGAGACAGAGTTTCTCCATATTGGTCAGGCTGGTCTCAAACTCCCAACCTCAGGTGATCTGCCCGCCTCAGCCTCCCAAAGTGCTGCGATTACAGGCGTGGTGGCTCACACTAATAAAATAGCAAAAATATTTTATTTTATAATTAAAATTTTTATTTTAGATTCAGGGGCACATATGCAGGTTTGTACATGGGTATATTGCATGATGCTAAAGTTTGGGGCATGAATGATCCTGTCACCCAGGTGGTGAGCACAGTACCCAATAGGTAGTTTTTCAGCCCTATAGGTACTACTCAGGCTACAGTACCCAAGTTTTTCAGTACTAGTTGAGTACTGCAGCCCAAGCAGTCCCCAGTGTCTACAATTCCCACCTTTTATGTCCAAGAGTACCCAATGCTTAGCTCCACTTAGGAGTGATAACATGCAGTATTTGGCTTTCTGTTCCTATGTTAATTCACTTAGGATAATGGCTTCCACCTGCATCCATGTTGCTGCAAAGGATCTAATTTCATTCTTTCTTATGGTTGCACAGTAGAGTATTTTATTTTACACGAAAGAATAGTCTTGTCCTTAAAAAGCAAAGAGGTCTAGAACAGAAGCAAAACCTTCAGAGAAAATTCATTTGTTATCATCAGGGAGGCAGGGCCCTGGAATAAGTGTCTCCCTCTACTTGCACCTCCCTGCTGGCTGTCCACTCTGCTGGAGAAAACCCTCGTGTCCCACTCCTTCCTTCTCTGGTCCAGCAAGAGGGTTATGCACTGGAGTAGAAGGAAATAAAACACGGACCATCAATGTTGTTCATCACGGAGAACTGGTTTTTTTAAAGGATGAGTAGATTAAAAGGTAAAACTGGAAGCTGCGCATTGCTAGGTATCCTTCCTTGACTATATTTCTTCTGATTCTTCATATAGCTTCTTTGTTACCTTACCTGTAAAACTGAAGTTAAATTGTCAAGGACTTTAGATATGACAGCATTAAGGATCCTATCAAACAAGCCCGAAAGAAAACAGAACTGTGATACATACGTGATAACAGGATTCAGATTTCCAGTAGAGAGTCAGGTTGGTCCCAAGAAGTTCATTATGGATGAGTAGCAAAGCTTGATCCATCTTCAGATCCACATGTCTTTTTTTGTCTAAGTCTGGTAAAAATTAAGAAATTTTTTAAAAAAAGAAAAAGGCAGCACCCGAAAGACGCATTAGAGACAAAGTACATTTATGTGAACAGTGGCTTCCAGTAGTGCTTTTCAAAAGCCTACACTCTACGGTTTCTGGGGTCTCTCACACATTACTTCGTGTATGCACAAATGTATGTGCGTGTATGCATGCATATGCGCACACACACACACGCACACAGATTTCCTTTTGCATAGATGTCTCTACTACAAAAGAGGATTCACTCAACACCACTCATATCTAGTGCTAGAAGGATCCTGTAAGGAATTATATTCATCAAGTGCTAAGATGTGACATGTAGGAGGATCCAAGATGGCCGTTTAGGAACAGCTCAGGATTGCAGTTCCCAGTGAAAGCGCAGAGGGTGAGTGGATGCCACATTTTTATTGCCCACAGACTAGGAAATTCCCAGGCAGAGGAGCTCCACAGGTCACCAGTGCGGCTGTTTCGGCCAGCGCGGCTGTGCCGGCCGGCACCGCTGCTTTGCCCCGCGCGGCTGCTTTGTCGGCGCCCCGGAGCAGCAGTTCTCCGTACAAAATACACCGGTCCGGGGGCCCTTTTGGCTGGCGATTGGAACCAGGAGAAGTCACCCATTCGTCTGTTTAAAAAAGGGGACTGAGCAGAGAACCAGGACAGTAGATTCCAGGGCAAAAAAAAAAAAAAAAAAAAAAGCGCCACAAACCTCAGTGCCGCTGTTTAAGCCAGCACAGTGAGTGGCCGCAGGGGAAAACAAACAGACCCCGGGGCCTCTTCAACAGGCGATTGGAACACCAACTTATAAAAGGCTCTGAGGCAGGGAGCCAGGCAATCAGGCTCGGCTGGTCCCACCCCCACAAAAGAACAGCAACCAGAAACTCTGGATTGAGAGTTTCATAGCAAGCCCAGCTGAACCAGGGACGGTCCAGCTCTATGGGGGAGGGGCATCCGCCATTACCGAGGCAGCCTGACACTAGGGAGGTAGTCGGCCAATGCTGAGGCAGCCCACTGTTGCCAAGGCAACCCGCCATTGCTGAGGCAGCCTGCCGTTGCCAAGGCAACCCGCCACTGCAGAGAGACTCCGCCTCAACAGAGGTGGGCCACCATCGCCAAAGCAGTCCTAACCACACCCACATAAACAGGACTGCAGGGAAGTTCACTCAGCAGCTGGGCGGAGCCCACAGCAGCTCAGCAAAGCCTCTACAAGCAGACAGTGACTAGGCTGCCTCCTTGCTGGGCAGGGCGGCTCTGAAGGAAAAAAAAAAAAAAGAGAGAGAAGGCAGCAGCATAACCGAAACTCATAAGGCCTAAATCCGTAGGACAGAGCACCTGGGAACAAAAAGCAGTTTGTGAGTTCTGCTGCAGCAGACCTAAACGTACCTGCCCAGAAGCTCTGAATGAACAACAGAGCTCACAGCTCACCATTTGAGCTCCTATAAAGAAGAGACCGTCTCCTCAAGCAGCTCCCTGACCCCTATATATCCAAAGAGCCACCTCGTAAAGGAGAGATCAGATTGACACTAGGTGAGCATCCTTCTGGGACAAAGATAGCAGAAGAAGAAAACTGGTAACAACCCTTACTGTTCAGAAGCTGCTGCAGGTGAACCCCAGGCAAGCAGGGCCTGGAGTGAACCTCAGCAGACATACAGCAGAGGGGCCAGACTGTCAGAAGGAAAACCAAGAAGCAGAAATAACCTCATCATCGACAAACAGAATGTCAATCTGAAAGATTTGAGACCCAATCTGAAAGCCAGCAACTACAAAGTCGACAGGTGGATAAATCCTTAAAGATGGGAAGAAACCAGCGCAAAAAGGATGAAAACACCCGAAACCAGAACACCTCTCCTCCTACAAGGGATCACAACTCCTCACCAACAAGGGAACAAGGTTGGAGGGAGAACGAGTGTGATGAAGTGACAGAATCAGACTTCAGAAGGTGGGTAGTAAGAAACTTCTGTGAACTTAAAGAACACGTTCTAACCAAATGCAAAGAAACTAAGAATCTTGAAAAAAGATTTGACGAAATCCTAATGAGAACGGACAAAATAGAAAGGAATATAAGTGAATTGATGGAGCTGAAAAACGCAACACGAGAACTTCGTGAAGCATGCACAAGTATCAACAGCCGAATGGACCAAGCAGAAGAAAGGATATCAGAGGTCGAAGATCAACTAAATGAAATAAAGCAGGAAGGCAAGACTGGAGAAAAAAGGGTAAAAAGGAATGAACAAAGTCTCCAAGAAATGTGGGACTATGTGAAAAGACCTAATCTACGTTTGATAGGCGTACCCGAATGCGATGAAGAGAATGAATCCAAGCTGGAAAATACTCTTCAGGATATTATCCAGGAAAACTTCCCCAACCTAGCAAGGCAGGCAAACATTCAAGTCCAGGAAATACAGAGAACACCACAAAGATATTCGTCAAGAAGAGCAACCCCAAGGCACATAATCGTCAGCTTCACCAGGGTCGAAATGAAGGAGAAAATACTAAGGGCAGCCAGAGAGAAAGGTCGGGTTACCCATAAAGGGAAGCCCATCAGACTCACAGCAGATCTCTCAGCAGAAACCCTACAAGCCAGAAGAGAGTGGGGGCCAATATTCAACATTCTTAAAGAAAAGAACTTTCAACCCAGAATCTCCTATCCAGCCAAACTAAGCTTCATAAGTGAAGGAAAAATAAGATCCTTTGGGAGCATGCAAGTACTCAGAGATTTCGTCACCACCAGGCCAGCTCTACAAGAGCTCCTGAAAGAGGCTCTACACATATAAAGGAACAACAAGTACCAGCTCAACTAAAGGGCAAAACAGCCAGCTAGCACCAAAATGGCAGGATCAAATTCACACATAACAATATGAACCCTAAATGTAAATGGACTAAATGCCCCAATCAAAAGACACAGACTGGCAAATTGGATAAAAAGACAAAACCCATCAGTGTGCTGTATCCAGGAAACCCATCTCACATGCAAGGATACACAAAGGCTCAAAAT